AAAAAAAGCAAAAAACAAAAAATTCAATCATGGATTAAAAAAAAACAAACAAACATTTCGATCATGGATTACAAAAAAAAAACAAACATTTCGATCATATATTACAAAACATTCGATCATGGATTACAAAAAATTCTATCATGGGTTACAAAAAAAAAACAAAAAAACAAAAAAATCGATCATGGATTACAAGAAAAGAAAACAAACATTTCGATCATGGATTACAAAAAAATCTATTATGGGTTACAAAAAACCAAAAAATTCGATCATGGATTACAAAAAAATCTATCATGGATTACCATAAAAAAAAAAAAAATCCGTACGGAATCGCCGATTCACTGTTCGGACTCGCCGATTCCGCACAGTGAATCGGCGATTCACTGTACAGAATCGTCCGGTTCTCTCTAGAACCGGACGATTTCCGATTTTTGGGCGATCAGGTTCCTTTTTCACTATTTCCGAGTCGAACCGGGCTCGACTCGGCGTTTTTTAAAACGCTGGTTCAATCTAAATCATAAAAAAGTGCTTGTATTGGAAAGGGAAATTTAAGCTCGACCCACCTTTTAGAAAAATGTGTGTATGCTATCCTCTTTTCGGAGCATAGTTTATTTTTACTCACTTGGTCAAGATATTTATTTGGGAGTATTTTTTTAATATTAAATTTTGGAAATTATTTAAGAACTACTAGATAACTATCTTAAAAAAATAAATAAATAATTGTAGTTTCTAACTCACCACTTAGAAGTTGGATGGTCCTTATTCAATCTCGAGACATTATTTTTCTCAAATATATAAAAAGTACAATTAGAAAAAAATCTTTTTATTGAGGTTAATAATCTCTAGGTTAAAAAGTTTACATCCCTAAAATTTGGGTCCTAAATTTAATTTTAGGTGGGGCTTTTATGAGGGAACAAATTGCACATTCTGCTTCGGGAGTAGAAAATCTTTTGGCTATAATAAAAAACAAATTTAAATTTTTCAAATATCGTATATACTATATTCCCTGGGAGCATGCTCTAAATTTACTCCCTCTGCGAAATATTACTTAGGACTCTAAATTTACTCCCTCCGCAAAATATTACTTAGGAGATAGCAAAAGATTACTTGTGAGATTTAAATTCAAATTTTCAACGTCTACAATTCCCTCCCAATGCCGTTTCTTTAGACATGTTGAGAGTGAGAATTAAAACCTTTTTTCTTTGAGATTGGTTATCGAGTTGTAGTGATCACATCCCGAGGATCTAAAAGATATTCCAAGTGTATTTTTGCCCAATGGAATAGATGGCTCTTAATGGAGTAGAAAAACTTTTGATCTTTCGAAATATCAAATACAATTCTATTTGTTTCTTCTTCATTTACCTTCTTTTTTTTTTCTTTTTTTTTTTTAAGCAAGGAAATTACTGCAAATATCACCATGACTATGATTATTTGAGCATTATCCCAACTGTGTACGTTTTTTTCTTTTCTTTATTATTTTAAAGCAAAGATATTACTGTAAATATCACCATCACCATGATTATTTGAGCATTATCCGAACTATTTGGGATAGGGAAATTATTGTTATAAACTGCATTTCTGTATATTTGGGCTTTATGCCCTCATGGAAGCCTTATGCTTTCATGAAATATTATTTCATAATACTGTAAAAAATTCTCTCTTTATTGATTCATAAATAATATACAAGACCCATATAAATATACCGCCAGTAACAATTAAAGATAAATACCAGAGAACTACTAACTAATCTTATTATAATCAAGAGATACATAAGAAATATATATTCATACATATACACATCCCATTGTGTATTCATTATGATGTATATCAATATACATGCACATACTGTAATAATTATAACAAATGTGTATTTTTAATATAATTTAAAATTAAAATACCCATATATTTTAAAATTAGGGTGCGGTTTGTATAGAGCCTAGATTCTAAATAATCAAATAGTATTAAGAAATGTGGTTTCAATATTGGAAATCTATGTGATTGCCTTAAAATATATTTTTATATTTATTTATAAAGAAAAGCTTAAAAAATGGTGTAGATCGACTGATATATGAAAGCTTAAAAATCTTGAAAATTGATAGGTTCGGTTACAAAATACACTATTTTCAAAATTTGAAATCCATTTTTTTCTCATGTCTATGCATCTTGATATCGAGATGAACATATTTAGACATCAAAATAACATATAGTGAAACTTTTGAAGTAGGCTCAAATTTGTTGGTTAAGAGCCTCGGCTCTATAAACTTTTCCCTATTATACTAGGTGTGTGCCCCAATATAGGTTCCAAGTAGGTCTGTGAAAGACTTGTTCCACAATGGCCCCGGTTTCCTTTCCCTCTATGACTTAGAAACCATGTTCTTTTCCATAGGGCGATTTCTCTCTCAATAAAATCTTTCCAATGACCCATATAATTATTAGGGAATCCTATTCAAAACTTGCTACTACGCCTAGTAGTTTGTGGTCCTGTCCCCAATAGGACCGTCACAGCCCACGTGGGTACTTTTTGGAGTTCTTGGGACCTTCGCAAACCTGTTAGGCCCGTGATGGGATGGGCTTACGAATCTAGTAGGTATGTGAAGGAATTTTTTGGGTACAAAATTTAAAGGAGAAAAAGGTATATGAATAAAAATGAAGAAATATGTGTATTTTTTAATTATTTAAAACAATTAAATAATATCATTCAATATTGTTTGAATAAATTTTACGAAAAGAAGCGTACTTTTTATATGTTGGGTCGATAATTCAGAAAATGAAAATATTGAAAAAGATGTTGCACATAGAATTAGAGTTGGTAGGTGAAGTGGAGATGTGCAACTAGAGTTTTATGTGGTCACTGCATACCAATGAAGCTGAAGATAAAGTTCTATAGGACAATTGTGATACCAATTTTACTTTATGGGGCAAAATGTTGGACGGTCAATAAACAATATACTCATACGATAAGTGTAACTAAGCTGAGGACATTGGAAAGGATGTGTGGCAAGACAATAAAAGATTGAATTCGAAATAAACACATTCAAAATAACTTAATTGTAGCTCCAATAGACGATAAGAGGAGATAAAGTACATTTAGGTGGGGCAAGCTATATGCAATGCAGGCCCAGTACAACACATGTTGATTAAAGTAGAAAATTTAAAAAGGACAAGAAGTACGCTAAAAAAGATATAGTTGAAAATAGCGATGAAATACAATAACTCATGCCCTCACTGGGGGTATAACCGTTGATAAAACATAATGACAGACCAAGATATCTGTAATCGACCCCAAAATAGTCGAAAAAAACTCTAATGCTGATGACTTTTACCAAAGGTAAAAACTTACATAGAGTAGTAACCCTATACTATTGGAATAAGTTACACATAAAAAATCATTTAGAAGAAAGTGTTTCAACGTTGCAGAACCGTCACATCTACCGTCTCAACTTCGAGATGTGTGAATAAAAATAAAAAAGGTTTTGAAGTACTATAAAATAGCACATCTTTATAACAACTCTATGGGATTGTCAATTTCTAATATTTTAGTGGTTAGTGGACGAAAATCTGGAGAGACGTCTTTAAGAGAGTTATATCTAGGTACCCAAACGGGTTCTTAATGGGTAGGGTAAGGTAGGGGAACGGTAGTTTAGTTTTTAAAATATTTACTTTTTATTGAGTGCAAAAGCAAAAAAAAATAGTAATTGGATTATAGGTGTGATATTAAAATTATTGGAAGGTAGAATGTCTACAAAATTCATTTTTGTAGGGAGAAGGGGAGTTATCCATAATTTTCCCAAAATAAAAATACAAAATTGGATCTGGCACTTCAAGGGCCAACCGAGAATATATTGGAAAATAAAAACTAGACCAAAAAAGGGACTTTACCTTAAATAAGATTTTTTTTTAATTCCTAAAAATGTAAAAATTTCCATATAAACTTCCGAAAAATATATAATATATACAAAACAAAAATAATCCATTGAAACATCAAGACTCTATATTTGTGACACCCTTGATAAAGGAAATGTATACAATGAGACTATTTACTTTTGATACAAGGCGGTCAAAATTATCATCGACTGTTAGATTTGAGATCGGGTGGTTGTGGGTGGGCACAAGGTTAAAAACAAAATTTCTTGAATGTTGTGATACAATTTCATTTATTGGAATTCGCATCTAATGGTCAAAAGTGACTGTGACATTCTTCTACAAAATATAAATGGTCTCCTAATATATAATCCCATTGACAAATAGCGCCAAGAGGCAAACCATTTGAATGATGTAAATTTCCCTTGAAAATGGTAAGCAACATTTTATCCTTTTCTTAATCTTTTATGAACTCCCCTTAAAATTTATTTGCAAGGCTGTTGACGTTGGAAATAGAAAAAGAGCTGATGATTTCTAGATACGTATATTTTTTAGCACACTCGGGAGTATAGTGTACTTCTACTCCCTTGATCAGAATAACTGCTTGGGATGATATGTTTTAACCTGAAATTTTGGGATCCAGTTAAGTACTTGTAGTAGATGATAATTCTAAAATAAGATAAGGAAATTTGAGTTTTCTAACACTTAGATCTCACGCTCTAAAAAATAAATGGTCTATATTAATCTAGAGACATTACTTTTTTCAAGTGCATAGAGGGTACAATTAGGATTATTATTTTTATCGAAATTAATCTATAAGCTAAAGAGGTTACATCCATAAATTTTAGAATCCCAAAATTAATTAAAGGTGGGATTTACTCAAGGGAGTAGATGGACATTCTACTCCCACGGAAGTAGAATATCCTTTGGTGCTAAAAAGAAGTTAAGCAAGTTTTGCTCAACATACATCGGCCAGATTTACGAGGAAACCTGAAAAAAACCATTTAGCAACTTCAGTGCTCTTGTATACGGATAAATGTTGATCAATGCAAGCACATTCCATTGTTGATGGAGATTCTCTATAGAACCTGTAGGTAGAGGTGGGATCATTAGAGGTGAAGATGGTTAAATTTGCACAACACAACTCCTCGGAGTTGCATCAAATAATTATATTGAATTTCACGCTTTATAAATTGGAGTAGATCTCACCATCAAGTTAGACTACAGTCATCTACAAATTGAAAGTGATTAATCTCTACTTCTCAATATTATTCGAGACAGATGCATGGCCCTATGGTGTCTTCACATTGTATCTGCCCGGCAGACACTAAACGTGAGTGGTACATTTCACATATCTATTGAAGCCCATATTATGGCCTACACACTCGTTAAAAACGCCACAGTTTTTTTGATGCCACCATTTGGCACACTAGACCGCCCGACTATATTTCTCTTCATTTGCTCCATGATGTTGCACAATTGCTCTATTGAAGGGTTTTAAATTTACGAGTTCTATTTTTTTCTATTAATATTTAATAAAAAATGGGTAGGGATCCAAGCACATTCATCAAGAGAAGCAAGGACCGTCATTGGAAATGGATCTGACACCGGAATCTGGTTTAACAGATGGATGGGCAACTATCTCCTCAAAGAACAGTTTCTCAAATTTATTCCAAAACATGATATTCCTGTAAGCCTCCATTTCATACTAGCAAAATATGCAGATTGATGAGGGCCTGTATGGAACACGACATGTTAATATACAAGGGTGAATGGCCAACGAGTTCGCCACGCTTATAGGACTGCTTGGACAGATATATATCAACGCGAGGATAAGGGACCAAGAGAAATGGGAACTTACCCCAGGGGGATAATCCATAGCATCGTAATCATACTGGATGTCGTTTAATGGTTGGCCAAGAATATCATACAAGAAACCTAATAGGGTATGGTCCTTACCAATTCGTATGGGTGGCAATGGATCCATAACCGACTCCGACCCGACCTGGGTCTAGGTAGGGGTTAAAAAATTGGACCCGGCGGGTCAGGTCCGGGTCTAAATATCGGACCGAAATACTATTTGGGTCCAAATCCATGTGGACCCGACCCGTTCCCGGACCCTAATAGTATTCTCATTTTAATAATATTTACTATATAATATTTAAATATATATATTTTTAGTTTTGAGTCAGGTCCAGTCAGGTTTGGGTTCGGATCCGATGACTTGGGGGTCCAATTGGGTCTGGGTTTGAATCCAAACGTGACCCGACCCGACCCGTCTTGATGCAACCCTGCCAATTGGCCACAAACTGCATCCCTCTCGCTCAATTCTACTGTATGATAGGATATTAATGATAGACAACTTAAGGAGGAGGATTCAAGCAAAAATAGAAGGCCTAAGTGACCATCTATTTCTCCACTGCCTGGAAGGAATGAAAAGAGAACCTTTGAGGGCTTCAAATCCTACTTGGAGAAGATGAATGATCTAATACTGGCCACAATAATATACTGGGCCTCAAATACAAGGAGTGCCGTATTCTATAAATGACTTGACATTACTATGAAAACACAGCAGGTGGTCACGGTTCTAGTGAAGCCCTATGCTTCGATCGAGCCGCACTCGCAACTCTGTCGAGGACGAGTCTGACCCTCACTAATGCGCACCACCCATGCCCAAGGCAACCAACCAAATATGATAGGGAACCAACGCAAGTGTGCACCATTCGCACACTTGCGCAACCAACACACACGAGAGGGGGACACACACACAAGTTGAATAGGAAGAACCTTTATTATTCCACTAGAATGCGTAAATGCTTACAAGTTCTTAGGTGTGTTACAAATGAATGTCATGTTAAGACATCTACTATTGGCGTTCTCTAGAACCTCCCAGGCTCAAGTGATAATAAATAAATAAAATAATAACTTTTTTTTTTAAGAAAAAAACATCTGTACACAATTTACGTAGGGGGTAAAGAATAGGAACATTTGGGGCGTGACAAGAAAAACTGGAAATACGCGATGGGTGCCCCCTTCTTCATTCTAGATGGAAAAGTTCAAATTCAACTTTTGATGGTAGTTCTCTGAGCAATTCAGGTATTCAAGGTGTAACACTATGGTTTATGCTTATCAACGTTCATTCATGATTTGAAAGTGATGACAAATTATGACCATAGATTTCTTTGTCATGTAGTCCATACATCCGCAAACTAGTGGCCACTAGCGGTTTTAGTAATCCACATTGAATATTGTTGCAGATTTAGTACATTTCATGAGGATTTCTAAAGGAAAAGTACTTTGTAAGGCTGCAACTTTGTAAAGCCACACCTCAATTTTTATTGCGAAATGCAATTTTAGTACTAAAAACTTGCAATGTTAGTTCTTCGACCTCTAGAGTCATATATATGAGAAAAAAAAGACCTGGAGCTTTAAAAATGTTATATCTGGTGACATGGTTTTTGAAGTGGCAATTTTGAGTATTAATGGATCTATATTGTTTTTAGAATTTCAGATTCCATGGTTAAATGAACATGTTTCCATCCCATTAGAATTTGGGATGGTAGAGGTAGACCCTTGAAGGGTACACGAGCATCATTCAATAATTCAGATTCAACCTAGTATCATCCGATCGCCAAATAAATATTTTAAAATAATATTTATTTAGAATTTGGGATATAGATGTGATTTTATATAGTGCATAATATAAAAATAATAAAAAATATTTTTGAATAAAAAAATACTTTGGATTGCCTAGATGTGATCGACGTGTGTGCAAAACTTGAGGACAAATGGACCCTTACTTTCTAAGTGGCCTACACTACAGTACAAGCCAGTGGACATATATAATTTTTTCCACACACACATGGAAAAGCTGCCATTCAGTTGTCAGCTAAAATGAATAGTGATTCCGGTTATGCTCTCACTATTTGAATTTTACTCTTTCTTTTTTTACAATATCTACAAAAGATATTGTGATGAAATTTTGAAGGAGTGCGTAGCATGGTAAACAGGTCCGGTCGGTGGGTCGACCCGACCCAGGGGTGGATCTGGATCCATTTGACCTGTACTGGGCCAAGTCAAGGCCGGTCAGGTCCATCTTGGACCAAGTCAGGTCGAATTAGGTCCAGGTCAGGCTAAGCCTGACCTAAACCAACATAATATATTCATATAATAATTATACATCTATAAAAATATGTTATATATAGTATAATTTTATTTTATTTTTTAACCTTTTATATTTCAACCTATACCGGGGCCAACCCTATAGTTTAGGTCCGTTCAGCCCATGTTAAGGTCTAACTTAAATCCAGTTAGAGGACAACCTAACTAGGACCTGATCCATCTACAGCCCAGTGAGTGCACCTTAGTTGGCATGCCTAAAAATGTACTTCTAAAAAAATTACCAAAATGGCCCCACAACGTTGCATATGTATTTTGGTCATTTTATTTTTAAAATTATTTTTTAATTCTTTTTTAGCGCTTGATGGTGATAAGTACACATGCCCAAAATCTCAAAGCAAAGTGAGAGAAAGTAGCTAAAGATGACATAGTTAGAAGATCATAATCATCATCGTCTTTTTTCAATTAATTGGGATCGGCTATACAAATCCTAATCCGTCATTCTGCTCTATTTAAAACCATACCCTCGGTGAGATGCTACAATTAGAAGATACTTCATAAAAAAATATTTCTTTTGTTCTATATAACAATATCAGTCTTGCATTCTGGTACACAGGCAATTACCATTATGGGTGGCATTTGCAGAGACAACAAAATTTCAAGTGATTACCACTACTAATTCACTGTTACAATAGAGATATTGAATGTAAAAACTCTTTTGTTGTTTGGAAATGTCCCTTAGAAAATTATTTGCTCCCAAGTCATATGACAAGCTGGTTGTTTCCTCACAGACTGCTTGGATGGGTGCCCACAAATTCAAGATGGCCTTGATTTTCTCTATTATAACACTGCATGGAGCTCCTGGTGCACTGTAGTAGTCGACCAGGCAGCAGTCGAACCCTTTGATGTCTTCCTCGAGATCCTGGCAGCGGAAGACTTACAACCACTTTGTCTTCAACCCTTTTTCCAGGGGGAATGGGGCCAGATTGAATCCAAGATTGAGTTTCTAGCCTGCAACTATTCACAAGGAGGATTTCCAAGCATACGTTGGAGTTTTCTCTAGTTCGGTCTGTTCTTGCAGGGCATGTCTAGCCCGAAGTTCAGCCATGGCTGAGTTGGTTGCTTGTGATTTACTGAGGGATTTGGTGACCGCGGAAATGGGAGGCCGTGATGGTGATCGACCATGAATGACTGAGGCTGGTATTTTGGTGGTGAAAGGCTGTGATGCTGGTGATGGAACGTGTGATGGTAATGGTGTTAAATGTCCTGCTGTTGGTGGTGGTTTGTGACAACGGTGGAGGTGGCGAGGATAGGTAAGTCGTCCGAACCTAAACAGCATCTTTCTTATTCTAGCTCTGAATTCATCACAATTACAGTGTAGAATCCACAAAGAACACAGGAAACCCATCTCACAAAAAGAGCAGGAAACCCGCAAAAATGGTCACTTTAGCCGATAGACTAACCCAAATCCCTTCTCAAAACAGGGGTTTAGCTTCCCTAAATCTGTATCGCAGGGAAAAATTCAAGACGATACATACAGGGGAAGATATTGAAGAGATGGAAACTGGGGAGAAGAGCTGAGTTTGTGGGAGAAATTGGGGTCTTTTGTGGGGTTTTAAAGGTAGATGGGGTTATTTGATGCAGAAAGAAATGAAGATCAGCAGTTAGTGCAAAAGAGATGAACTTTAAAGAGAGTGTAAAGTATCGAATGCAGAAGAAGGAACTTTAAGGGGGGTTAGGGCCATGACTGATTTTCAATATACAAAGTTTTATGCCAGGTACCGAACTAACCAAATAATATTATACAGAATGTGGGTACCTAACAAAAAACTACTGAACTAGTATTATGCAGATTATGATAATTTTATACAAAATACTCGACTCTTGATAAAACTGTCATAAAAACAGGCCTTTATGGTTTTAAGAGTTATTCGTTATGCTGCAACAACACAGGAGTGAAGAAATTTGCCGCATTGAAAAGCATGGGCCACATGGAAAAGCATGTGCTCACCTCCTATAAATCCTAGTAAAATGTTCAAAATTTGTACCTAAAAGAAACTAAAAGATCCTCCATAGGATGTTCAAATGGTGTATCTAAAACTAGAATGGCATGAGGTTTATATTTTAATTTTAATAGGAATAAATCACTTGCTGAAGCACTTGTTGTTAATTTTGCCGCATTGAAAAGCGTGGGCCACATCGAAAAGCATGTGCTCACCTCCTATAAATCCTTAGTAAAATGGTCAAAATTTGTACCTAAAAGAAACTAAAAGATCCTCCATAGGATGTTCAAAATAGTTTATCTAAAACTAGAATGGCATGAGGTTTACATTTTAATTTTAATAGGAATAAATCACTTGCTGAAGCACATGTTGTTAATTGCACTATTGAGTCAGTTTATTTTAAAGCCAAATGAACATCCTATATGCATCAATCATGAAAATATTTCCTTATTCTTTTCTTTGAAAATTACTAGTCCTGTAGATATAAGACTTAAAATGTGAGAAAAGGTAGAGACATTAAAGGAAAAAGGATACACAACCTGGCCTTTTTTATCTGATCAGAAATGACTTTATAAGCATATTTCCACCATAACCTGGGATTTGATCTCACTCCAACATGTGGTCGATAATGAGAATATGTCAGACATTGATTAAATGTAGCAAAGTTTTCAGCAAGCTTCACTATGTCCCTGTATTCATCCTGGGTAGAGTAAAGTGTGTTACGTTCAGGAAGTCCAATAGGCAAGTAAAGCCTCCCAGTCTGAGAAAGAAGAATAGCCAAAAGAGAGAGGAACCTTGGATGAGCATAATGTGACATCATCCAACTTCACTGTTGCTCTCTGTAAGGGTTGATCAAGACTCGGGGATTCATCAAGCCTCAGCTTGGTATACTTCGCATTGCCCGACACAGGTTGTAAGATATAACTGTGACCTTTTGCAAGCACATTAGTCGAAGGGCTGCTTGCACATTCAAAGATCTGAGTTCCAAAGTCAAATATCATTATACGTTCAGCTAATAATATGGTGGAGATAAGAACTTGAAGCATTTAGTTAAGGTTTATGACATACTTCACTCCACTCATTAGGAAGCAAATTCTCCCACGGATGAATATCACAATCAAGATACACGGCTAGGCGGTCAAGCTCCACAGACTGCAACAAAGTTTACAGAAAACCCAGAAAGAAGTTAGAAAAGCGTATAGTACCTGACAGAAGCCTAGAAATCAGACAATATGATCCCTGTGTTGAACCATATAGCAGAGCTGGTAATTGTTGACAGAGCTAGAAAAGCCACAAAAGGCTACCTATCTCCGATAGTTTATAAGACAAAACAGATCAGGGAATTTCAGAAGCATGTGGGTTTAAGCTACAGATATAAAATGACAAAACTAAAAACCAAATAAATCAGAACTCACAGGACACTCATAATATTAAGTAATATAGTCTATCCTACCAAAAGTACATGCTCCAATTGAAACATAAATTATTCAATTGAGTGATTATATACCATGTTAATGGTATTTCATGTTGTCAGAGTACCTTTTGAATATCATCAAGTGCACCACCAGTAACAAAGTTTCTTTCCCGCTATCATCCACAGTGACAGCTGAAAGCTTCGCCAAAGTTACTCCCGCTGCAAATGGATGACCTGGATTGCTACCAAATAACAGTGACAAGATCACTACATAAACCAAACGAAAGAAGTTGGGCACATCATGAGGTACAGAAGCAGAGTTGATATATACGAAGTTTCATACCTTTCCAGATCCTCATATCTAATGTGAATATAGGTAACGGAAAGCTTCAAGTTTCCAATTATGGTGTTGATCAAAGAACCAAGCCATGAGGTATTCTGTAAAGAAATAATTAAAATTTGTGCACATGCACAAAAAAAGAATAGAATCAATACAAAGATTGGATAAAAAGGTGAAAATTTGCAGAATGAATCTTCATAGTCCAAGTCCATCTCAGAGAAAAGAGAAATAGATATGGGTAATAACTACTTTTCTCAGGAAGAATTCCAGCATCTCTTTGAAATGAATGTCAACAGTGTAAATGTCATAACTACTTACTGTTTTAATATATAAGTTCTAAAACTAATTTTCTTGAAAGTTAATGTCAAATTGACAAAGGAGAAAAACAGAAAATGCATTTTAACCTAGAAGACTATTTAATCCAGCAGCCTCAAATAAAGTTGCGATGAGTGCATAATAATGCCACGAGCATTTTTGGGTTTAAGTACTGACTTTTTTCTCTCAGCCTGTATTCTCCAGGCACTCTGGAAACATACAATTCAACGTCAGTTACAATCATCACAACTGACATCAATGGTTTTGTACAACCTTTTTTCTTGAAGGTATGCGTTCTGCTTGTTTTATCTTCACAGTACAAAGATCCATTTAAAATCCAGTTGCACTATAAGCTCCTAAAACAGCGGGCGTGTTGCTTTGGGACCAGAGAAGATGGAACGTCTAGATTCCCATTCAAATAGAGAACATACAGGTATTTAGACTTTATTTTTATTTTTTTCCCTTGTTACAGTCAACATGCTCTTAGAAAATTAAAATGTTAAAGTTGAATGTCTTGGTGGTTATGCCTCTGCATTACAACTCAATTTCCCTCAATATGTATGAAAAGGAATCAAAATATGGCATCCTTTGAGCTGACTGTCTTTGTTTAGAATTACAAAGACCAAAACAGGCTCCAAGATATTTGTAGTTTTATTACAACTAAGTCATAATGAAGAACTTTTGGGACACAAATGACAAAAGAAGCGAATGGAAGATTATCTACGAGATCCAATGACAGTACACCATCAACCATATAGAATAGAAACCAGGATAAGGATAGGAACATCAACTGAACATCAAAAAGAAGGTACCAAGGTGCAGTTAGAGTTAGAATAACAAAACACAAACCAGTGTTTTAAACCTGGACTTAGGTCAGGACTCGCTAAGGTCCCGAATCCAAGTCGGAGTTGGACTGAGTCATAGAAAAACAAAGAAACCTTGAGAACCAGTAGCACTTGGCAGATTTCCAAGGTATTTTACTTGGATCCAGCACTCTGCCAGGCAGTATTCTGAGAATTGGCCGAGGCCACTCATCCTAGACCTATGGGCGAGTAGGCTGTACAGCATGTTTGCAAAGTTTATTTATATTAATATGTCAATTTAAGTCACATGTGCTTGAATGGATCCACGATTAGTTCTAACACATATATTTTAGCATGGTTGGGGTTCAAATCTCACTAGCGAACATCACTTTTTAAACACCATCATTTTCTTTTATATGATGGGAGTTCCAAAAAAAAATGTAGCCCCCCAAGAATCAAACTCAAGACCTCTTGCAAAGAGGCATATTATATCGGGTGGCCTAACCAACATGCCATTCGCCGTTTGTTTAAAAAAGCCGGCCACTATATTATATATATATATATATATATATATATATATATAGAGAGAGAGAGAGAGAGTAGT